TTTTTGTGTTCAACACCTTTTCCACCACGAAAAAAAATAAAAACTTAATGTCTCCCATAGATCCTGTACTACTTTTCCTCTAGTAGTCGTGTATATATATATATATATATATATCGCTGTGTTACGTGGTACTGGCATATTCCCAATACGTTAAAAGTTCAATAACAGGTTGTTCCATCACAGGAAATCCTTGTTTTATTTTTAATATTACAAAAACTTAAAGCCTTGTACCATAACGTTTGTTTGTAGTGTTTATTATTCAACAAGATTAGATACAAAAATTGTGCACACATAATAACTGTATACATTAAGGGCTCCGCTCCTGCGCGCTTCGAGCGCCAATCCCCTTACGGTTAATAACAAATATTTAATTTTCCAAATTTGTTAGAACAATTGGATAATTTGCTACTATGAGAGACATAGTTTTAATTTTTATTCAATGCAAAAATTTAAACGACTGATTATTTAATCAGATTTTTAAGGTTACGTGCCCAAGACCGGTGTCGATCAATCACAGAACGAATCAATCGATGACAATCAAAATTTATAGGTAGAAAAAAAAATACATACCATTATTTTATTTATGTACAAAAATAGAACTGTTATAATTTTGTACAATTTTAGGTCTACGACTAGAAACAAACCTCGTCCTTCGTACGGAATCGTTGTAATTAGCCATCTTAAAAAAAAATCAATAGAAAAAAGCTTGAAGTAGAAAAAACAATTTCACTAAATTAAAAGTTTAAACGATTTGTTTGTTTTTCTTCTTCAAGTTTAACCCATGAAAACTGTTGGATAAATTATTGCTCAGCGCTGTATATTGTGACCAAAGTTTTTAAAATTCATCCATAGCGAAACTTTGCAGAAAGAGGCTGGCTGAATTGAACATCGTATTGATATTACGTATAAATTGACAGTCGCCATTTTGTCGGCAAATTTTAATACAATCGACTTTTAACGGTATAATTTTACCGTTTGACGTACATAAAAATATAATACATAAACATGCATCAGACGTAAGCAAAAAATCACAATAAGTTCTGTTTTATTTATCAAAAATGAAAAACTACAGATTACAGTAATGACTATATTTATACTTAATATTTAATGAATTATCATGAGAAACATCATTCAAGACTCGTAGTCGTGCTTACAATGGTCAAGTTTGAAATGTAATTTTTGATATTTTCTATAATTAGTGTTAATTATCCCAATGTAAGCTTAATGTTAGTTAGTACTATTGTAAAGTTGGAAAAGTAAAATTAGTTGAGAACAAATTCACAATCACGAATAAATGTATTAAAAGCGTGATTAATAAATTATTGTACAGTCATACTTTTGTAACGGTACGTAGTGTAATGTTTTTTGAGCTTCTAACATAGGAAATAATATTTTGAAACAATTGTAAGACGATGGAGGATGGGAAATTAGTCGGTATATTCGTCGTTGAGACGTACTAATTCCAAGTTGAATACATCGTACATAAACTTTATATTCATTTTGTATGATCATAATGTACCTACTTATACAGCAGTATCAACAACTGACCCCCCAACGTTTTTGTAATAAATTGACTTTTTTTACGCTAACAATAAGAGTTTCTCAACTCTTTCGTAGTTATTTCCAACAACAGCGCGCATAAAATAAAACCATCATTCGTTTAACACGCCAACTCCAAACACGAGCGCGCACCTCGTTTCAGATGCCCGATATTTTTGAACAAGCATCGGGTTAAACTGTGGCTTATGGTATTTTCACAACAATCACGCAGATACTTGTGAATAAGATGCGTATCAAAGCAAAGAAAAATTATATTGAGAAATAACTGATTGACTGACTGACCGACCTAGTTTTCGTGGTTACTATCGTTTTTCTTTGAAACCTGCCGGGAAGGAGAACGTCTTCGGCGGAAATAATACGCTTGAGCATCGGACGATTTTGTTACGTAAAACAAGCGGGTCTAAGAGATGAGGCTACGAGCGATTGCCTCGCGATCGAATTTCAAGTTTGCTTGGGTATGTAAAAAATAGAAAAACACACTTTTAGCAACGAAACGAGGAAAGGTGAAAAAAAGTAAAAAGTTTCACGGCCGAATCGACAAGCTGTACTCATGCGCGAAGTCGCGCAAGCGAGTCGAAGCGCAAAAAAAAATGATCGAGAAATCGAAGCCGAGACATAGAGGGGGGAAAAGGGGGGCTCGCGAATAGTAAGTAGTAGAAAAAGCCTTGGAGGAAAGAAAGAAGCTCGAGGAGCGACGTCATGGAAAATAACGGAGGAGATATATTATCATCGCCCGGGCTCTCGTCTGCCGAGCCAGGCGCTAATGAGAATTAGAGGGGGGCTGGGGGGGGTAGGGGGAGAGAAAAATGGAAGAGTAAAAAAAAGATAGAAAACAGAGCCGAGGTGAACTTCCCGAGGCGTTTTCGAAGCGATAAGACTCTGGCTTTCCAGCGTATGTGACACGGTGTCGCCAGGCTATACGACGCGCGATTAGAATTAGTCGAGAGGAAACTTTGTAATGGCTCGTCGCCACCTATGTCTCTTGTTCTTTTTTTTCCTACGAATCCCAGGAGTCGTGAGTGCAAGCTGGGTCAAGAGTGGCTTGTCGTTAATTCTTCTTTTCTTTCGTTTCGCTTATTCGACGGAAATGAATTGTGGCGATGCACCGAGAATTTCATGTGCAGAAAGAGGGGGGAGGAGGAGAATGGATCACCGTTCTCTGGTTAAGATCTCACATTTCCTTTTTTTGCGGCTCATCTCAATGAATAAGTGAGACAAGTCTTGGAGAAAATGATGGAATTTTTTCAACACAAAGATCAGAGTCCTTTAATACGTGAAATTAAGTAAAAAGGGACCACAACAGTGCTAATTATTTTGTCAAATACACAAGATTAATTAAAAACCTAAATTACTTTAGAACTAGTTTTGTACGCATGTACTTGGAGTGTACCATCCACAAAAACGAACGCAGTTGCTTTTAATTTATTTAACCACGCTATCGTGGATATTATGTTTTTATATTTAAGTGGGAAATGTAGGTACCTACTTCTGATCAACTGGGAAATTGGATGCGATAGGCGTGCGGTTCACACTGTTTACTTGTATAATGATACAGATAATTCAAAACAACAACAAGACAAAATAAAAAATGAACAATAGCTCCTTGAAAAAAAGGCTAAAATAATAAGTTACATTAAAAAAAGGGCACGAAAAACAGAAGCAAAACACAAATATATATATATATGTACATGTACATAAAAATCTGCCGTTCTTATGTTCAATAATAAATCTGTTTCACTGAACGGCCGTTCAAACTTATAATCGATCTACTGCGTGCCACAAAATTACGTTGGTACAAGTGTAAGCGCGTGTGTATGTTTATATACTTGGCTGTTACCGCCATGAAAGGCATGTGCATATATTATCAACACGCGTGCGTTCGTAGTTTCAATATCTCGTCATTTTGACGTTTTGTAAACATTCTCACTGCAGCGAGCGGGATATGGACGATTTGGTAACATTTCCAATCCGTTTGCTCGACCAGTGATAAAAGCCAAGCTTTGTTCTCGTTGTTTAATTTCATAACGATGTGCGGAATATAATATATGTGCTCCATACAAGTGCTTCTATTACGTGTGTAGTATGAGTGCAGAAAAGCAAACTACCAAGTGCTCTAGGGTGTGCCGAGTAAGGTATTTTTCACATCAATTAGAAATTTTACGATTACTCCGATTAATCGTTTATAAGCCGCATACGAGCGAGATAACTAGTGATCTTAATTTAATTATTAAACGAAAGTGTCTATAAACTACACATTAACCAAAGATGATAATAACATCATAAGAAGGTTGTATATTCGACAAACTAGGTACGTGACAGGATGTAAGAAAAAGCTTGTAAAATCCAATTTCCCAGTGATGTAAATTACTACCGTCGTTGTTGGGTAATGGTATTGAAATATGTATACATACCTGGGTCATGGATGATGTGTTTGAGTGGTTCGAACACCCTCGAGACGTTAACCACGGTTTTCGACTTGACGGCGTTCTGAAAGATCCCCAGCAAGATCTCCCCGACCACTTGTCTGTAACAAAAAGATTTGGCATTGGTAATTTTTTTTCGTTTTTTTCTTCACAGAAATAAAAAATTTGGTTATCCCAACTATTAAAAATAGTTGAATATAGTTGGATTGATTCTAATGGTTAAAAATACAAGTTAGACTCACTATTTATTTAGTTACAATGACTACAAAATCCATTAGACATAATTCTTATTATTTATAAAATAGTTTGAAAAACTGAATTTTGCTATAATTATAAGCTATAATTGTGTTATAATTAACTTTGGCGAGTGTACCTACGTATGTCAGAGAATAACTGATTTGATGTCAACCAAATAATTTTTTTTTTTTTTTTTTATAGTAACCAAAGAATCAATAGTCATTTCAATTAACATATGGTGACTACAGCAACCAATTTTTTTTTTTTTTTTTTTTTTTAGGTCAACCAATATTATTGGTGGTGCATTGCATTAACCAAGTTTGTTTGTCCATGTTCAATATCACTTAATTTATTGGTTGATTGATTGATTTGTTGCAATGTTTAAAAAATAGTTTGCTGATGCGATGATTTTGATGTCCTAGCGTTGTTTAAAACTACTTTTAAATTTTCTTTTTGAAATATGATTGTATTCAGTGTTTGTTCCAGAAATTGAAAAATGTAAGGCATACACATGATGGAAAAAAATGTGCTTAAAGTTAAGTTTAAAACTATTTCCTGCCCAAAGTCCACCCATGCACTTTTTTTTGTATTGAAATAGTTAAAACAAATTATTAAATGTTTCTTTACTATTCTAATAAATTATATTACTATAATGAAATAGACTGCGAATTATTTTAAAAATTATAACTATTTTTATTTTGCTCAAATAAAAACGTAATTAAAGAGGTTTGGGAGTATTATTTAGAGAGGCGAGGAACGGTGAACCCCCCCGGCCCGTGTAGATGTCCCCCTTTACCGCGCACCTCCTCTTGCACTCTACAAATTTGAAACTGTACGATTGTAATTATATTTTTGAAAAATGCCTGGTGAGTCGTGATTTTTTTTGTTCAGCATCTTCCTTTTGTATTAAGGTATTTACACAAACGTTTTTTTTTTTTTTTAGTCTAATACGTTTATAATGTACCATAATTTTTAATTAAAAGGTAACCTAACCTTGTTCTCTCATAAGAGACCGTGTTAAACTGACAATATTTAATAATTTTTTTTCTCAAAAATTTCCGTGAAAATTTGGTGAAAAATCTGAAAAAATTAATGTGCACTCCTGATATGCTCAAATATAACATACATTTTTTTTGTCAAGATTCTACATTTTGAACTTTTCTCCCAAACCTCCTTAAACGTTTAGTTTAAGTATATTGATCAATCACTATTGTATTTACATATTGTATTTATATATAAGTAATTAAAATTTTTTAAATTCAAAATATAGTTATCAAGATACGGATCTTAAAAATTTTAAAATATCGTAATTGAAAATGAAAAAGGTAGGATTACTTTATTCGAAATAATAAACTTACGCAATTTATTAAAAATTTTATTTTAAGTACATTAATAATCAAAGTATTATGTTTGATTGTTAAAATCAAACAAAATAATTGAACTATTAGATAGTTTTTATTAACATCCAAATGAGGAAGTTAAGAGTATTTAAAATTTTTTTCTTGTTTCTTTGAAAAACTCTAAAGAAAAAAAAAAAAATAAATAAATAAGTGGAAGAGGATGCGTAGATAATATTATGTGGCTCTGCAAAGCTAAGGTTTTTGTCAAAAAAATCTTAGTCTTTCTTTATCTTTCTCTCCCACACTAGTAGGCATTATTAGCATCTACATAACCTATACATCAGCCGAGTAGAAGAGCAAGTACACATACTCCATATTGACTATATGTACAGGTATGTATAAGATGTGTATGAGTTGTATACCTGGCGCGACGATTTCGCATTCCAGGGCAGGCGCGCGCGCGCGGTGCTTCCCCCGCTACGCTACTTACGGGAGAGTCAACTTCTCCCTCCTCCCCACCCTGGATGAATGTCGCAAGAGTAGGGGGGGTAGGGGGACCAATAAGTACGAACGTCAGTTAATGCCGGCGGCGCGCGGTCACGCCTACCGCACCCGCGCAAACATGGCCGCGCAGCGGGCTACGGGGGCGCATAGCTCAACGCAGTTGGCAGAGACAAGGACGGAGATAGATGCCGTTGGCTCCTCGGGCGCAGTAGTGGTGGTATTATAGACGTGCGAGGACATGTGCATGTGTGAACGTCTATTCTGTACTCCTTTCCCCTCTATCACTCTCTTTCTCATCGGGAGCCGTAAGAGAGGGTGGCCATTTGCGCGAGCGCGAGTTCGGCTACGGTCTGTGGTGTTTTCGGCAGGCCTAGATTCCGTGTAACTTATTGTATTACAGTACTTATGTCGGATAGACAATTTTTTTTTTTTTTTTTTTTTTTTATTTAATTTTCGTTCACAACTATATGTTGTAGTAATAGTAACTATTTAAGTTGTTCTTTAATAAAAAGTGTGTGAAAATTTAGCTCTGTTCAATCGGAATTTCCACCATTTCAATGGTTAAAATCAGCTATATCGACTGTTCATTTGATAACACTGTTCATACAAAACATAAATAGCGTAGCCACTGTTTTTTTTGTGAAAAAAATTACACTAAAAAATAAAAATTTTCATAAATTTTACAATAGAGTTGAAATAATACCAGGGAAAACAAAATTTTTTTTTAATCAAACACTAAACTTAATGGCTGATTGTTTTTAATGTCATGAATATAAAATTTAATACCAGTTTGAAGTATCAAAGAAAATTTCCCCACAACAAAAAAAAACTTTTGAAACACGACATAACATAATAAATTTATAACTATCAGGCATAATATGAAATCAAAGGAAATCATTCGCAAATAAAATGATATTAGTTGTGACGACAGTTAATCGAAAGAAAAATCACAATAGTTATTTTGATTGAGGTAGAAATTAGTTGAAACAACAAACATTAATTGGATTGGTAAAAAAAAATAACATTAATAGGTAATTGAAGGTTGTTCTAACTTATTCAAAGTTGTTGTAGTTTTAAATTCGAAGAATGAACTATTAACGACTCGATTAATGATGATATATTAGCAAGTTTTTTATAATAATTATTTTCCGTCAAGATAAATTCAAATTAATGCTTTTTAATACAATCCTTGGCTAAGTAAGCCAATAAAAATCATTCCTCAATTAATCCGTCTATTACGTTCTCTCTCACATGAGCACAGTGAATTTTCAACAGACGTGGTAAAATGTAAATTGCTCGCTTGAAATTTATAAACAAAAAAAAAAAAAAAAAAAACTCTTATCCTAGAGAATGGAAGATTATTAAAAATAAGTAACAACGACGAATAAAAATATGTGAAAAAAAAAAAACGTATTCACATGGGTGGCTGCCGCGAGGAGCCCCACCTGAATTGAAAAGTCGCTAAACGTACTATGCACGGATACCCAGTCCGACTTTGAAGACCCACTGTCTACCTTACCCCTCGAGCCCCGGGACGAAGTCTTGCAAAGGGACGCGACATCGAAAAATCTACACGCCTCCCACCGGTACCTCGAACCCTGCAAATGAAGGACCAACTATCCCTCGAGGGCGCGCAGCTAGAGGCCGAGCAAAAGTAAAGAGATTGATCGTCTTCGACGAAAGAGCGAGCCCAGAGAGGGAGATGGCGAAGCTGCGTGGTAGCGCGAGAGAACGTGCACGCGAGGGGGCGCAAGAGCTTTCCAAAATCGGCCCTACGTCAAAGTGTCCCTCGAGTTTCCATCAGGGGCGAGGGAATCGGCTCCGGGAAGACAGACATCAGGCGCACTCGGAGGGAGGGGCACGGATGGACGAGAGGACGATCGATGAGCCGAGCGCACGCACTTGCTTCTTCCTCTTCTTCTTGAGGCTGTGCTTCGCGTATCACGGTATAGGTACATCTAGGTGTACGTACCTCGATCGTAGACGCGGGAATCTTGTTTGCAAAGCTAACTTTGGTAAATCGTACCTTTACTATAGTAAAATGAAAAATCAAATGAAAAACACTTCCAAGGAGACAAACGAACCATACATATACTATCATATAAGATCAGCCTGCACGCAGTGGAAAACAATAAGATATTCATTTTTTGTTTTGGCTGACTACCAAAAAAAAAAATTCGCGAAAAAGTGATGGGCAAGACACCTACTTATACATAAATGCGCTAAGAGATAAAACAAATTTGACGGAGACGAGGGCAACTGTGATCTATGTATAGATCTGTCCCACGCAGTTGTGGACCGGGGCACGTATGGCACGAATGAGCGTTGTGCGCTGGTACACTGATGGTATATATGTATACGTAAAGGTATGGTTCGGCTTTTCCAAAGTTTAATGGAGTTTCACAATTTCGTCCCATCTCTCGGTCGGGAACAAAACTCACATGGGGGCCTGACCGCAGCACCACCTGCGTGTACACCCGTGCAATGCGTGCAGGGAGCATCCCGCGTCCAACCCCTCCCCGACCTACAAATCGAGCGAAAGGGAAAAGCACGCGGCTATGCGGAAAACGTTTCGAGAGCGCCTCAAAGGCAACTTTCCTTCACGTGTGTATATATATATATATATATATATATACACGTATATATATATGGCACATCGCGAGCAAGGACATTACAAAGGGGGCGACGGAGCGCGACAATGGCGCGCGCGCGCGCTCGCCACTCCGGAACGGCCGGCCGGCACGCGAGTCGCGGGCTCCTCTCCTCCTCCCCCAATATACAACCGTTTCATAGGTGGGTATACTGTGAATAAGTACAGTGTAATTCCCATCATTGAAACCATACGTCACACTCTTACACAATAAAAATTGTGTTTATGCAAAGTATGGTCTCTATACTGTTGGGGTGCATCCACGTGTTGTCGAGAACTTTCCGAATCACCGAAAGCTGGCACCTTTACCTTTTTTTGTTTTTTAGTCGTTAATTGTCTTTGAAATTAGCCAACACCACCGTCATGAAAA